TTCTGCCAATTTATCGGAGCCATGAACCAGAGGATGATTACGCTCGAAGTACTCATTCGAAAAATCGAGGTTCCGCAGAGCAGCTTACTAGGAAGAGTGCTGAAGACGGTTCTTGACCGTTTCGGGAGATGCCGAGAGGGGGATGGCCCTTATGTCGTTTCCTGTATTGCGAGAAGTTTGTTTGTGCGATTAGCCTCAAGGACTGAATGAGCAAAGCAAATGCTGCGATCACTAGATTACAAGTCCATGCTGAGAAGCGGTTCTTAGAAGAGACAGTGGAGTGTGCAAAGATACCTGACCTACTTCGAGCAAAATACATAGATGAGTCTAAGGTGGACGTAATGCAGATGTATTATGTACTGATGCAAAAAACTCAAGGGCGTGAGATACACCAAGCAAAGTGGACGCAGGAAATGATCTCGGAGAATGTTGATCCGCTTATACTTGAAGCAGTGAGTGAATACGCCACACAGAATTCACTCAAATCAGTGTCTGATATTGGAAGGCAGTTCCAGGTGGCACAACAATGCTATGAAGATATGACGAGGCGGAAAAAGAATCCACTGAAGTGGAATGCAAGCATAGGAAAGAAGATAAGTTTGAGTAATTTCCACAAAACCCTCATAGAGCGGTATTTGGCCAGAGAAACACTTGAGGGTAAAATCTGAGGCCCAAGAAGTGTATGAGAAGCATGGGTCTCATACTTGGCTCTTAAAGGTGACTGTCATGAGATCCTAAGCATGTTGACAGAACGTGTGAGAGTTTATGAAAGTAGAATAAAAATTTATTAATCCCTTTGTGTATTCAAAATCCAAAATGCTATCGGAAAACGGTTCTATAGAATTTTAACCGAAGAACGGTCTGTCATCTACAATTTAGGGACAGATAAAATCAGGGATTTGTGGGTATGATGTGGAATTTGGAAATAAAAGAGGATGATGATATCCATCACAACGGAATATCTAAAGGAATCTATCCAAATCATTTTGTATTTTCCCATCCGTACGCTACCTTCAGACTAAATACAACCTCGTAGATAATCTAACCGCTAAAAACCTAACAGCAGCCCAGAAAATGCTCCTGTATAGCAAAATAGAGAAGAAAATTCGACATGCAAAACTATACAAGATGCGCAGTAATGTGCTATCCTCAGCAGATTCATCAGTGTGGTTACGATTCGAGAACATTATCCCACAGGATAAAGTGCGATATCGTCGGCTTCGAGATATGTGTTTGGAGCTGAGAAAGATATGTGCCAACATCGTAGAAAACGTGTGATGACGGTGAACCATTTAGCAACACAGTGCGAGAAAATGCTTTATCATGACTATACTAGAAGACACAATCAGGTCTTGCGACGCATTCATTTGGGACTTTGCAAGAAGTATGGTCTGAAAGCATTCCCGCGCATGTGAAGCCATTCTGTTCTGGAGATTGTTGCGAATGAGACATTTGAGACCAGAGTCGATACGCGAGTTAAAACAACTATAAAGCTTAGTGCGGATGGATATTCTGGTGTACAATAAGAAGCGATTCAAAGAGGTTGGCATTACTAATCTGGACAGGTGGTGGCAATCGAGACTGAGAGAAGGCGAAAGAATGACGTGTTCGTTACTAAACTCAGGTCAGATATGAAATGAGAACGAAAATAATTCCGCAGTGATGATTTGGGATGGGATTGTAACGAATGTCCATAAACGCCTCGCGAAGGAAATCAGTATATCTGATCATTACGAGACATAAATTCAACAGTGTTCAAAAAGAGTTTCGGAAGCATCTTATTCGATCAAGAAGATAACACCAATCTACCAATCACTGAGTGTGTAGAAGTTCTCTGTGTACCTAAATTGCTTTCGACCATTGAGTAAATGTAGCTGACTTTAAGTTTACACCAAATCGACATGTGAGTTATATCTTCTGCTTGAAGTTAAACTATATTGTTCGTCTTTACCACTGTGTGCAAGAGGTAGAGATATTCGTATAGTGTTTGGAAGTTTTCAACGGAATTTAGAGTACATTTAGTGATAGATACAATAAGCGATTACAATAAGAGTTATCTGCGTGAACTTGCAGAACTTGCAGTACGCATTGTCTCGCCGGTTCGACATAACAAATGTGAACGCATATAAAAAATGTATATATATATATATATATATATATA